AATATTGAATACATTCTTCAGAATAGAAAAAAGTAATGCAAGTTATTTTTTTGAAGTTGAGAACCAAGTTCAGACCAGAGGTAACCATGACTCCAATGAGGAGAACGACTCCAGAGAAAAGAAGAATTCTTTAAAAATGCACTTGTGACTGGATAACCATAGCTGGGCAGRAAGGCAGGTAAGAGATAGGCCCAGACAGGACGGTTGCCACCCAGGAAGCTCCAGGTAAACTCATTTTTAAAGGGCATCCACAGAGAGGGCAAAGAGGGGGCCGGGCGGGCTCTATGAGTCACCATCTCCAGAGAAGAGGGAAAGGGAATTTAGAAACCAAACGGTCCATAAATTAGGAGACAAAGGAACAAAGGGTGCAGGCTAAGGGGGGATTTGCCATCCACTGCTGCCGGCTTCTGCCACCTTCTAAGTCTCCCCGGCCCCTGCACAGCCGCCCTCTACTCTCTGAACGTGCAGAGCCCTTGAGGTCATGGTCACGCAAGCTTGAGTCACGGTGGCAGGACTGGTTTCCAGGTACAYGTTACGGAAACAGTCTCGTTCTCTATGAAGCCCCCGTCACTATCTACTGCTCTGCATCCTCCAATTTGCTTTGGAAGGCAGGTGTCCTTTAAAAGCTCACCTGTGACCCACATGGCTCCCCATGCAGCCCTGGGCAGACGTCCTGCCCATCTGCCCCGCTGTCCTCCCCACCAGCCTTGCTCACCCCGGCCTCAGTGATCTCCATCCACTCATCCCCCACAGTCTTGCTGGGCCTGGAACGTTCCCTCGTCCCTCCCCATTGAATAAGCCTCTGGTCACGACCTCAGTGTTTATCCTTTGCTGTCAGCTCTCAGGAAAGCAGAGAGCACAGCTGTTTGCTCCCTGTCCTTGTGCATCCCACCCCCGTGGAGTGTTCCCATGTCCCTTCACGCTCTGTAACCCCTTCTGATCTGAGTGAGAAGCCGTGGTGGAGACCATTTCTACTCCTTCCCTCTTCCTGAGGAGCCTGTGTCCCTTTGCAGTCCCGTGTTTTGAGCAAGAATTCAATAAACAGCTGCAAATTTTCCCCTCACTCTCTTTTGAATTCTCCGGGTGGTCTTGGGACAGGGCTTCCCTCCAAGCCCGTTTCTTCTTGCATAAAGGGAAGTGTTTAAATGACATGGTCTCCGAGGCGTATCCTCCTCTCACCTATAATTCTAGGACCCTCAAAGACTCCGGCAAAGCACAAGATGTAAAAACGAAGAGTGCAGGTCGGGCCGGGGGAGGCTGCGCTGAGGAAGAGAGCAGGCCCTGTGGTTTGGTGAAGCCCGCCTGGAGTCTGGATCCCATTTCCGCAACTTGGTGGCCTCGAAGCCGCACTGGTTGCTTCATTCCTCTAGGCCTTGACTTCCTCTTCTCTAAAGTGAGATAAGAATACCCACCTCGCAGGTCTGATGAGCGGATTAAGTGAGATCATGCGCTCCAACACTGCAACGGAGCAGGCTTCGGTTAAATCCTCTTCTCCTCCCTAACTGTCATGGGATTCAAAAGCAGAAGGTAACGAAATAGGGCAGGAAATAGGGCTTTCAGGCGAAAACCTCAGTTGCCCCAACGGGTGACTGCTCATGTGTGCTCTAGTCCCTGGAGAGGCCACCGGATAAAGGAAATATCCACAGGGAACTCATTCCAGGACCACCAGCCCATGTACACACCAACAGCATCCCTAGTCATTGAAGTCCCCGCGTGAGATGGCTTAGTATCCCATGGACCCCCGCCATCCGCAATCCTCCTGTACCCTCTGAACACTCCCTGGATATCGTACCCTACTGAGCACAGGGAAACCACCATGTGACTGCTTGTGGTACTGCTTCGTTTCACGAATGGCGTGAAGAAGAAGCTATCTGCACGTGCTTGGTACGGAGACTTTTTTCAAATATTTCTCATCATACCTACTTTGGGGGGGTCACAGAAGAAAAACACTGGTGCCTATTAAACCCTGTGGCCCAGAACAAATGCACAACCAACTTTTTCTGAAGGATTTTGGTGACAATGAGTCAAGGAGAGGTTTTTGAGGTCTCCTCTCTGAGAGTCAAAAAGTGCAGATATGAAGCCACCCCAAGTCCCTACCAGAAGCCAGCCCCACACATACCAGACCACAGGGAAGCCCCACCCAGTGCCATTCTCTCTCCTTCCCCAGAACAGGTGGTCTGGGCACACTGGCAGAGAAGCTCCTCCCAAGAAAGTGAGGCCCCCCTCACTCCGGCCTTCACCACCCCACCTTTCACTTACAAACTGCTTCTAAGACCAGGCATAGTGACCTACACCTGCCATCCCAGCAGTTTGGGAGGCTGAAGCAGGAGGATAGTAAGTTCAAGGCCAGCCTCAGCAACGTAGTGTGGCCCTTAGTAACTTAGTGAGAATTTGTCTCAAAAAAAATAATAATAAAATGAGCTGTGAATGTGGCTCAATGGTTGAGCATCCTTGGGTTCAATCCCCAGTGCCCCTACGCCCCCCCCCCCCCGCAAAAAAATAAAACTGCTTCTAAGAAGATCATGTGAAGGGTAAGCTGGGCTCTATGCTAAACAAGCCTGCTATTTCTCAACCAGACTCTCCTTGAGAAATTCAACAACCACATCTGGGGAATTCTGAGCAACCGAGGGATGAAGATGGGCCCAGGCTGGGTGTGCCCGCAGATGGCACCTCGGGTATTTTCCTGGATTACCAAAGAGGTGCCTGCTCTGTTCCCAGAAACCAGATAGCTCCTGGGCCTCCATGGCGGCCTCCACCTGACTGTGCCCTCTATGTTGTAGTTTTCAAACCGACGTATTTCCAGGAGAACTCTTATCTTCTCCAGCGACCTGAGGCACACAGTAATGACTACGCAGGTTCCCCAGCGACAGAAGCCATCATTAGCATTGTTATTATTTTTGTTGTCTTATATCTCCATAGCAGCCCACAGTCACAGTGTGCCCTGCAATCGGTCTTGGTCATTGTCCTCACACGATGCCCGAGGCAGGGGTGACCAGGGTGAACATCTCTGTGCAGCCCCACAGGGAGACAAGATAAGGACACATGTGAAGTCCACAGACATCACTGTCCACACGGGGTCCGTCCTGAGCCACCTAGCCTCTGCCCATTACTGTCCTTCTCTCCCTTCCTGTGCCCGTCCAAGGTGCCGCTCATCCCTGTGGCTCTGTTCATAACTATCGGGACACAGGAGGAGCTACACTGGCAGCAGAATCAGAGATTTCACATGTGGAATAGACCTTGGTATCATCTAAGACCCTCCCCGTTATTTACGGTTGAGCAGGACCAAAAGGGTACCGAAAACCACTTGTACCAGCCGCCGGGTCCTGACTCTGCGCTTCGACACCCCATTTCTGTATCTCCCCTTTCCTTTGCCTTTTCTCTTTACCTTTCTCTCTCCCTTTCCTTCCATCCCCTTCCTTTATTTGAAATGTACGTGGTTTAAACTCCAACAGGAGCCTGAGTGTTGATTTGCTAAGGGTCTGATGTTCTGCCACCTGAGCTGGGCTGGCCTCTGGACACTGAAAAAGCCTTTAATAACAAGAACCAGGGAACCCCGAGGTCGAGCCTCCCCTTCCCTGCCCTCCGTCCCACATGGAGCCACTTGTTCAGCCTGGGCCACTCCTCACCTCCCCATCCAGCCGCACACAGCATGGCCTCGCCCCCAGGGAAAACCAGCCTGTCCCCTGACTCTGCAAGGGCCACTGTGCCTTCATGTGGCTGGGGCTGAGGGTTCTCTCCCACAGCTCTGTCACCTCTGTGGGACACATGTTGACAAAATTTACATGGGTACAAGGATCATTACTCTTGTGATAAATATCACTTTCTGTACCCTAACGCAGCCCTGAGGCTGCCCCTCCATACTCAAGAGATTCGTGTCTGATTCAAGCAAACCTCCCTCTTCAGAAAAAAAAAAAATGGTTCATTTTCCCTCAAAGGCCACCTTGTAGCTGCCGGTGGCTGCCAGCTCCCCTGCCAGTTCACATTCATCCCTGGGACCCGGTGAACAAATTAAATCAAAACACCAAGTACAGCTACCAAGCTCCCTGCCACTCTAGCTTTCTATATTTGTGATTTGGGGATTTTTTTTATTCTTCCTCCCCATGATTTATTTTTAGAAAGTTGATAAGCTTCCTGCCCTCCTTCCCTTTTTCTCAGGCTACATGTTTATAATCGCAGGGAGCAAGCAATAAATAAAGGAACCAAGTCAACTTCCAGCCTTGGACATTTTGCAAACTACCAATGGATTCTGGAGCATATCAACTTGAATGAACATGGACACACAAGGCCAGTTGAGTTCCTGTAAATTTCCCATGACGCAATGAGAGGAGTCCACACCTACTCAAAGGAGTCAATTATAAAAGGCCAAGGGAGCCTGACTCAGGACTGAGCTTCCAGGCAGAGAGGGAGTCATTTGGCGTTTGAGTCGGCAAAGGTACTGTCCTTCCTCCACCTCTGGCTTGGGCTGCTGACGCTCAGACTAACTTCTATGAAATTCTGGCCTCTTGCTTCCTTCTTTTCTTGTCCTGCCCTGGTTTGGTGTGAGGGCTAGAATCACAGTCAGGTTCCAGGAAAAGACTCTTGTTTTACTGATGGGGAACTGAGGGGCAGCCAAACTGATCCCTGGGAGGGCGTCTGAGACACAGCTGTGTCTTCCTCCGGGAGGGAACGTCAGCTCTCAAAAACTATAGGAGAAAACTGGAAAGTTTTCCACTCTGTCTCTGCCCTGGATTTGCATTTCATCCTCAGGGGTTTTTTGTCTTAATCCATCTGAGCACTGAGTGTCTACACTGGGCCGTGCACTGGGTTGGGGACAATAGGAATACCAAGAGGAATAGGACATTCTCCAGGGAGCTTCCCRTTGAGTAGAGGAGGCAGGGGCATAGAAGAGGATGCAGGAGACTGAGAAGAACGGGGGAAACCTGGCGGCCAGCTCCCCACCGAGGGCCAGGGCCGGAGGCTGGTTGGCTGACAGCACCCTGTTCTCTGTTGCAGAAGTCAGCATGGCCAAAGTCCCTGACCTGTTCGAAGACCTGAAGGACTGCTACAGGTAAGAAGCAGGTCCCCAGAGCCCCACGCTCCCAGGAGATGAGTCGGACTCAGAAGGTCAGGGTCGTGGGTTTTCCCCGATGTGTGGAAGCTAGAGAGGAAAGAGGAAAAGAAAGTGGGTGGAGGATCTCATGAAAATCAAAGGGGGATCAGACGAGCAGAGGAAAGAGAATGAGGGAGGAAGGAGGAGAGAAAAAGGAAGCACTGGAGTGATACTGGCCAAATATTATAGTTATATTGTGTGCATTTAAGAATATGTAACAGCAACTCCCGTCATTATACATACCAATAAAAAACAGGAAAAAAATATGTCCTACCTCTTGTGATTTAATGAGGGGTTCAAGGCTTACTAGACTCCAGGTAGGTGTTACATGGGGCCAACAGACAGAGGCTATGGAGTGGCACCCTGGCCCTGAACTCAGAGAAGATTCAGAGAAAAACCCAGGGAAACTAAGCGTCCAGCGTGTTAAACTAAAATCACATTGGCTGGCAGATGGACACTTTAGAAAAGTTATCTTTAGCTGGGAGCCGTGGTGCACACCTRTAATCCCGGAGGCTCAGGAGGCTGAGGCAGGAAGATCTCCAGTTTGAAGCCAGCCTCAGCAATTCAGCGACACTCTAAGCAACTTAGTGAGACCCTGTGTCAAAATACAAAAATACAAAGGGCTGGAGATGTGGCTCAGTGTGGTAAAGTACCCCTGGGTTCAATCCTGGTACCAAAAAAGAAGYCAGCTTTGAGGCACGCTGGGTCCTACTCGGGTCAGCATCAACTTYGGTCTGGCCTCAGCTGAGCCCTGATACAGTGCACTGTCTGAGAGAGAACCCATTCTCAGGGATTTTGATCTTGATCAGGAGGAGGAGGAAATGGCTGCCTGGCCATACAAGCCCTGAAGGCACACTGCCAAACCTCATTCCAATACAGAAGAAAGATCTCGGTGATCAGAAAGTTAAAATGAGGGAGTGTTTCATGATGTTCCCATTGCCCAGGGTAAATACTAACACAAACTGGGCTATCAGGCTGTTGCCTGGATGTTTTGCCAAGTTTACATCGTGGAATTTGTTTTAGCAAATACACCAAAGCAGAGTTCCTACCTGCTGTTGCAAAAGTTGCTCTTTTCTCTCCAGGAGCTTAAGTTCAACAAAGCTCTCCAAGTCGTTAGGTTCATAGGTGAGGCCTAAATCAAGTGCGAGGCCTGTTCTAAAGATGATTAATTCCAAATTAGTAAGTAGGGATTGCTGTGTATAGGAGAACTCCTGATTCTCACGGTAGCGGTCAAGGCCGCGTGCGTGTCCTGTTAAAAGAGGATGCCCGRTGAGCCCAGTGAAATGACTGGCTTCCTCTTTTTCTTGACAGTGAAGATGAAGACTACAACTCCACCATGGACCATCTGTCTCTGCATCAGGTGAGCCAGGGCTGTGGTCCTTAGAGCCGACTGTCACCCAGCACTTCCTCCACCTCGGGAGCTCAGCCCTTGCCTGGCTCTACTGGTGGTGGCTGGCATTCTTCACTTTCTCCGGCTTTTCCAGAACAGAGCAGAACTATCCTGAAACCCTGAGCATGACAGCTCCGGGGCCAGTCTTTAGGCAGTTAGCTGGGCCATCCTGAGATGGGCCCCTCTGGCCACACCACAGGGGGTCTGTCTCCTGACCTGACCTGATGTGGTCACCCTCTCTCCTGCCAGCTCCAGGGGTGAGGGGCAGCCCCACCCCACCCCTGCCGGCAGCCAGGTGGAGAAGCAGAYCGACTGAGAGACAAATCTCAAACCCTCGCCCAGAGGTGCTATTTTGTGTGCTGTGGCACCGGCTTTAAAAGCTGTCCCCACCCAGAGGAGTTTGGCCATCCCTGGGCATCTGCGCAGCATGGGTTCCAGGACCCTGCAATCCCAGCATCTTCAGATGTTCAGGACCCTGACAGGGGACAGCTAGTATTTGCGAATCACCTCCACAAATCATCCTCCTGGGTGCTTTAAATCATCYCTAAGTTATTTGAGACCCTAACACAAGGCAATTGCTATGTAAATCATCGCTAGAGTGCATGGTTTAGGAAATAGAGACGAGGAAAACATCTATTTCTTGTCCAAATATTCTCCACGCGAGGTTGGTTGGCTCTGAGAATACGGAACCCTTGGAAACAGAGGTGACTGTATCTCAAGCACTAACAAGTAGAGGCTTCCCCGAGGGGCACCACCGGCTGGTAAGGCTGCCCCCTACTGAGATCATTTGTTAATGTAGCACGTGACAACATCTCATTTTCAAGCTGTCAGAGGGATGCAAGTCTTCCCAAGACACAGAGAAAGGAAGTAGGGAGGGAAAAGTCCGCATGGAGTCCCAGACCCACCCAGAGAGCCCCCTCACCCAGTCTGCAGAACGTAGCTCTCTGAAAGGAGTCCCTCTCCACGGCCATCCATAGCCACTCAGTGGCCATTTTTTCTTCTTCAAAGAAATCCTTCTACACCACGAGCTACCACTCACTTGGTGAGACCTGCGTGGACAAGCTGATGTCTCGGAGCACCTCGGAAACCTCGAAGACGTCCAAGCTCACCTTCAAGGAGAGCCTGGTGCTGGTGTCTGCCAACGGGAAGACCCTGAAGAAGAGGCGGCTGAGCTTCCATCAGCCCATCTCCGATGACGACCTGGAGGCCATTGCCTACGACCTAGAAGAAGGTAAGGACCCTGCACCAGGTGTCCTCAGCCTCTAGCTCTTAAGAGGTCTGAGTCAAAATAAACCAGAGGCAGCCAGGGTTCAGCCTGCTGACCTCCAAAGGAGGGGTAACTGGCCATTCTCCAGGGGGAGAGATCAGCAGTGGCCTGAGGCTGGAATCCTCACTCCTGGGCTCCTTTCTTGGCCTGTTGTAAACGTCAGGTGACTTTTAGAGTGTTGGGAGAAAGTAGTTCTGTACTGTTAGAGGGTTACCTCTCCTTACCAGCTCTGCCTCCTTACTCTCTGGTACTTACTCTCCCCTGGAGTTCCTACCTCATTTGATTGTAAAGATTAAATGAGTCATCACTCTCAAACTTCTGGACTAGAATAATGTGTGGTGTAGAGTAACCACCCAAGAAATGCTAGCCGTTGTTACTGTTACCACTATCACTACTGCCACCTCTATTAATATGACCAACACCACTCATTTATTAATGTTGCACTCTCTCCTTGCCCTGCAACAACCTCACACTCTCCTTTTACATAGGAGAAAACAGCTCCAGGAGATGTGTAGCCTGCCCACACACCTGTACACGGGAAGCCCTCACATCTAACTCAGTTGACTAACATCATCCTGGGTTTCCCCCATGCCTTAATGAAACATAAACAGGATATATATATATATATATATATGTTTTTAAGACTATTCCTAAGCAATGATACATGTTCACCTGAGAAGGCTTTAAAATACAAGAAAATAGAAGAAAGGGCATGAAAATAACTCACTTCTGCTGCTCAGAATTTATAACTTTGATCTCAGAATGCATTCATTTGAAAACATAGATAGGGACACTGGTAGTCTTCCTGGCCACTTAGAAACCTCCCGATAACCAAAAATGAGAAAGTCACACAAATAACCTCTTTAAAAAAAAAAACTATTGCCTGAGAAATCAGTTTAAAAAGAAACAAATAAGTCGTCACAAGGCTACTCTTAGAGTGAAGTCTAGCGCTGACTGACTTTGCATCTCTCTGTTTCCTCCCCTGGACTCAGCTAGGCCTGCTGCCCTTCCAGCACCGCTGGCTAGGCTCGTGTTAGCCTRTAAGGTGCGTGTGTCCTCTGCATTCATATGTAGACATTATTCTGAAATTGCACTAATGGTTTCAGAGCCCATCAAGCCCCGGTCCGCATCTCGCCTCCTCCAGAACAATGTGAGTTACACCTACAAAAGGATCATCCAAAAGGAGTTTGCCCTGAATGACCCCCTCCATCAGAGTATAATCCAAGACCCGACATCTCAGTACCTCAAGGCTACGTCATTAACTGACCAGGACCAGGAAGGTAACAGGCCAACTTAGCTCCTCCCTTCCTCTTCTTTCTTTCAAGCTTTCTGCTTTAGAAAAAAAAAAAAAAAAAAAAACACCCCTCTAGATCCTGGTTGGCACAGATCCTCTAGAACAGGAGAAAGCGTATCACCCTCGTAAAAAGCTTAGGCAGGACCAACGTGCCTTTTCCTCAAGGTGGGGGTCGAGGAGGGGAGCACACAGCCTTCTGAAGTGCTGTCTTCTTGGTTCTTACAAATATTCTTCCCCCCGGCTTTAAAGATGAGGAAACTGAGTTTCAGAGTGTTAATGACTTACTCAGATTGAGCCAGACACCCGTGAGGCGCAGTCATTCTCCATAGAAAGCCTGACCATCAATTAGGATGCGTCCTGCTGTCTTTGATAACACAGTTGTGGGGCAAAACAGCCACTAGGCTGTAACTGTGGTCTCAAGAATGAAATTCAAGTGTCCGAAAATTTTTGTCACACAGATCCAAATTCCATGCTAAGCCTGTTTTTGTCACAGGATGTGTCATCAGTGTACAAAACTATTTTCAAAGATCCAGAGAGGTGATTTTGCAATAGACATGCAGGGCTCTTTCTGATTGGAAGCACGTTGGTGAACAAGCTTTGGATCTGTGACATTTACAGAGTATTTTGCATTCTGTTTTTTTCTACTGAACATTACTCCAATATTTGCACATTTGGGCGCTGTCTATGTATTTGCCATTTTAGTGGCACTGGGGTATGCAAGTGCTGCTCTGTGGGGCCAGGGTTGGCTCAGTAGCTCTGTTGCCAACACCGTCATATCTATTACTGTCTTCCCCCACCTGGTTATACCCCAAAGTGGGATGCCCAGACCAGAAGGCACAGTGACAGCCCTTACTACACATTGATCGCAGGAAAACTGGACTGCTTTTCCTATGGTCCAGCTTCCTAAACCCCTCCATTGTAGGTCGTGATGAACTCATGAACTCAGAACTTGCAGGATCTCATTCCACCAACGTAACATCTACAAGGGGGCCTACAAATGCTCATGGAGTCCCTGAGCAGTGTGTTGACATAGAAAATTCTAAAAACATTAAATATTGACCTGCCTGGAGACCTAATTTCTCTCCCCACCCCCACCCCCAATAAACACATGATCTTATACAAAAACAATAAATACAATGGACTGATTTTCTGTTTTGGCTCTTTTCTCTACCAGTGAAATTCGACATGGGTGCCTACATTTCAACAACAGAGGATTCCAAATTTCCAGTGACGCTAAGAATCTCTAAGACGCATCTCTTCGTGAGTGCCCAAGAAGAAGACGAACCTGTGTTGCTCAAGGTCAGTTGTCTCTGTCCGGCTTTGCCTCCTTGACCTCCTGTGGTTTATAAAGGATCCCAACAGGCAGACACCCCCAGCAGCATGGCCTGATCCTCTTTCCTTCCTCCCACAGTCCCTACCTCTCTCAGACTTCTTACCTGTCCTCAAAGGCAACCCCAGCAGCATCTGAGAGAGAGAATAGAGGAGATCAATTGCCTTCTGGCTTCTTATTCCTCTGTCTGGCTGACCCTACTYTGCTCCCAGCCCCGGGCATCTGTTTACTCCATCCACCCTGACTGACAGCCACGGTCCATCCTACATGGTCCTCAGCATAGAGACAGTGGGGTCTGCCTCCAGGAACTGAAGGAAGCAACTGAGGTCACAGAGGACCCATCACCTGCTAAGAGCATGAAGCAGACCGTGGCCTTCTGAGTCCTCCAGTGCCTCTCTATTCCTGGGTGGCACCATCATCCCTCACCCTATCCCCTCATCCCTGCCACCCCCCCACCCCTGGAGAGAACAGACATATATACCCAGCCCACTGCAGCCACAGAGCTGTTCTCTGCTGATAAGTAGGCAAAGGTCAAATCCAGCACCCCCTATCCCCAGCTAGAACTCCTGCCACAGGATCCATTCATATGAAAACGGTCTCCACAGCCGAGGGCAGCAGCTTCGGCCTTTTTTGTATTCAACAAGTATTGCTTACGGAGCCTTCTGTTTGTTCAGACAGAGTGCCAGCAGCTTTGGAGACAGGGTGTGTCAGAGTCCTCAGCCTTTTAGACCTTAGTCTTCTGAGGATCCGAAGAAGCTTAGGTCCCTTGGAGCTGGTGCACTGTGAGAAAGAGGAAGGACGTTCAGAGGCCAGCGCCTGTAGAGCTTGCATTTGGATTTCATTTCAGGGACAGCGAAGGGCCACTGGAGGCGGGTTCAGACAGTGCAGTGCCCCGACCTCACTTAGATCTCTTACGTGAAGAAGAGACCGGAAGGCAGGCAGAGGAGAAGGCAAAGAGCCCAGTTTTGGGGCTATGACTGTGGTCATGCAGTAGAGCAAAAGAGAGGCTGTGAAGAATTAGAATGGGTCCTAGTTAGAGAGATACCCAACAGGAAATAGAAGAGGAACTCCATTTGCCGAGATGGCTAAAGGTAGGAGAGGAATAAATTTGAGAAATAAAATCTTTGCCTACATTGAAAACCTCAAGGGAACCTCAGAGGAATACTTATTTCTTTTAGATTTAAAAGAGTAGGGAAGCTGGGTGTGGTAATCCCAGCAGCTCAGGAGACTGAGACAGGAGGATCAAAGCCAGCCACTGCAAAAGCAAGGCGCTAAGCAACTCGGGGAGACCCTGCCTCTAAATAAAATTCAAAACAGGGCTGGGATGTGGCTCAGTGGCCGAGTGCCCCTGAGTTCAATCCCTGGTACCCAATAAATAAATAAGAGTGTAGGGAAGAAGTGTCTCAACTCGAAAAGTGAAATTCATTTTTCCATGAAAGTACTGCCAGTATCGGTTCACTCACAGGAGGAGCTCAGTCTAAAGAGATCCTTTTCAAAGATTCAGTTCCTGGAATAACTGGGAAGGTGTTTGTGTATGTTTAACCTTTCATTTTTTGACTTAAATATGGAAATAAATGCCATCTAAATGCTAAATGGCTCCCCTAAGGTGTGACTTACACTATTCGAGGTCAGCATGYTTAGAGGGCTAAGAATCCCCGCCATAGGCCTTTGGTGAAGACAGCAATCGATGCTTGTCCCCGGCTCCCCCGGACACAGTGAGACACCAGTGTCATTGGCGGTCATGACTAATTAAAATTTCTTTCCAATTAACTAAGAAAATCAACTCCTGTGAATAAGTGGGGCYAGGCCTCCGAGAGGCATGTGGAAATGCCTGACTCACGAGCAAATGAATGAAGAAACCGCATGGTCAYGTTGGAGTCACCGTGCTAGAGGGTTGCTCCCCGGGGAAGCATCTTCCTGTCCTCTAACAGAATTCGGTTCTCTTTATCCCAGGAGATGCCAGAGACACCAAAAACCATCACAGGGAGCGACACCAACCTCATCTTCTTCTGGGAAAGTCACAGTGGCATGAACTACTTCACCTCAGCCGCCCACCCGGAGCTGCTTATTGCCACAAAGGTGGACAGTGCGGTGCACATGGCCAGGGGCCTCCCCTCGATGACAGAATTCCAGATTTCGTAAAACCAGCCTCCGCGGTGGGGTGCACTCCTCTGTGAGGTGGTGACAGTCCGTATGTACCATGTACATGAAGGAGTCAATTCTTTACTCTCAGTCACGTGCTGAGAATGGGCTGAGCCTTTGTAATTCTAAATGAATGTTTACCCTCTTTGTAAGAGAAGCACTGACATAGGAGGCTATTTGTTAGTTAGAGAACACCCTATACTTTGCAGAGTACCAATCATTTTAATTATTCTTCTTCATGACATTCTTAGGGAGAGCCACAGGGCTACTGACTGTGGCTACCAAAATAGATTCTACCCACATTACAGATGGGTTAACTAAGGCAGAAGAAAACACAGCAGCACTTGGAATTAGAAGCCACAGACCCAGGACTTCATTCCCTCTATGTCCCTTCTGCTTCTAAGTTGTTCTTGGACCCTTCATCAAATAGGATAAGTTTCTGGGACCTCAGTTTTATTGTTTTCAAGAGAGCTGGAATAGACAGGCACAGTGGCGCACCCTGGTAATCTCAGCCATTCAGGAGGCTGAGGCAGAAGGATCTCTAGTTCAAGGGCAGCCTCAGCAATTTAGCAAGACCCTGTCTCAAAATGAAACACAAAAGGCTGAGCATGTGGCTCAGTAGTGCAATCTCCAGTACCCTCCCACCCCAAAAAAATAGTCAATTAATTAAAAGGTTTTTTAAAGGGGAGGAATATTACCTTTATCTTTCTGCCGCAATGGTTTTTTAATACGAATCAGTGAGTGAGGTCCTTTTTAGTAAACTACCTCTTGAAGCTGGGCTTAAGAAAGAGAGACCTTGGAATGTTATTTATGAAGTATTATTTATATATATGTATGTGTCTATTTATTAACATATTTAAGATAATTATAAGTTATTATTATATTTATGGCCACTCCCTGCTTCCTCGAGGTATCCTCGGCAGCAGCGAAGGTCCTCAGTCTGAGTTAGGTGTGGTTACATCAGGCCGCGCTGGTCCCGGCTGTGCTTTTCATAGCCACACAGCCCTGCATTCTAGTACCTGGGAGCCCTGTAATTATGGTAATAAATTTATATTTATTATCCTGTGTGTGTGAGGTAATAATTAGGCCGGTCTTTCACTCCTCTGCTCTTCGCCTTGCCTGAGCATTCTCTATCTTTCAACCTCACCTGTCATCAAGTCTCACTACGTAAAACAGGAGGAACTCAGCTTTGGCAACCACAAACCCCAATGTTACCTAAACTTTATTTTCAGGACTACTGTTGACATTTCTATTGGATTCTAAAAATTGTCACCAAATTATCACCATACTACTACACTATTATCCATAAGAATGATTGATAGCTTATTATCAATCATAATTCAATAAAGCATCAAATTTGATCTGAGACATAGTTGTTATCTTTTTTGTTTTGGTTTTGGGGGACTTTTTKGGGGGGGTTGCTTTATTGTTGTTTTCACTACTGTTTTACTGCGAGGTAATTAGTGGCAAATAATAAAGGTTCATGTAAATAACTATATGTACCATTACATTAAAAAATAAATAAAAACCAAGATTCTATAGTTTTTCTCTCCCCTTTGTTAGCTGCTGGTGTACTTAAATGGCATCAGTCAGGCTGGGGTATAGCACTGTGGTTGAGCACTTGCCTAGAGTGTAAAAGTCCCTAAGTTCAATCCCCAGAACCTCAAAAAAAAAAAAGCAACAATAAGGGGCTGGGATTGTGATTCAACGGTAGAGTGCTTGCCTAGCACATGCAAGTCGCTGGGTTCGATCCTCAGCACCACATAAAAATAAATGGATAAAATAAATTTGTGTCCAACTACAACTAAGGAAAAATTATTTTTAAAAAGCCACARTAATACTCCTAAGTTTTTTTTTAAAACTCACATTATACTGTGCAAATGTTCATAYGCTCATACAAACTCATACCTATAGAGCCCTATTTACAATAATTAAAGGATTCATTTGAAAAGCTTGACACAAGGTACATTGAGCTGGAAAGGTTAAAATCAAGGGAACTTGATTTAATGTGGACCATGATGAGGAAGGAGAGTCCAAAAGGGGTGGTCTCTCAGGACTGGACACTGGATGACCACTGCTGTCTTCAGTGATATTTCTGGTGGACGAATGGAGCTCTCCACTCCAGGGTGAAGTAGGATGCAGGTAATTATAGACGTGTCAYTGGAGCCGCTGATGGACACCCAAGTGCAGATGTACCATGGGTGGGTGACAAGCACCYGGAACTCAGGAGAAGTCAGAGCTAGACAGGAATGGGCTGGGAAAATACCATTAGCTGTGAAATAAGCCCATGTGCCCTGCCCTAAAGAATGAATCCAACTGGGTTAGGTCCAGGTTTAGGCTGCCTCACATGACTAAGCCATGCTGACTTCCTTCTGTGTAGTAGGATGTCAAGCCAGGGGGGCAACTTCCCAGAAAAGATTTTCAACCCAGACAAAAGAGAGAGCCCCGTGGAAGAGGTCCTTTTTCCTTCCTGCCTGAGACACCTTCCATGAGGCTCAGAAGGTTGGAGTTGCGTAACCAACTTGAAAAAAACGCAGAGAAGGCAGAGTGGCAAACTTATCTCCATCTCCACATCATTAGCCTGAGAACCTCCCTCTAGACCTGGAGAAAACTTTTGCATTCTAGGCAARTGCTCTCCCACGGTGCTACACCCCAGCCTGACTGATGAAAACAAAAATATCCTTGTCCGTAAGCCATTTCACTTGATTTGCTGTTGCTGGCAGAGAAAAGCAGCAGGCTTGGTACAGAGCACCACCAGGACTGGGTCTCTTGTTTGTTTCATTCGTTATTTTATTTTATTTTATTGGAGGTGGGGGTAATTGGAGATTGAATTGAACTTCGGGTTGCTCTATCACAGAGACACATCCCCAGCCCTTTTTATTTATTTTTTTTTTTTATTTTGAGAAAGGTCCTCACTAATTTGCAGAAGCTGGACTTGAACTTGTGATCCTTCTGCCTCACCTGGTTCTATCTGGCAGCCACAACTGTCCTCAAGTTTCCTTACCCCCATCTGGCCAGGGTTAAGACTAAGTAAAACCTGCTTTCTTGCTTTCCCTTGGTTTGAAGAAACAATTTAAGAACTATTCTAATGTTAACCTCTCTTTAATTTTAAGAAATAGGAAAATAAGAAACAGAGCAAGCAACACAAATTCAAGAGGCCTTAGCTGGGCATAGTGGGCACACATCTGTAATCCCAGTGGCTCGGGAGGCTGAAGCAGGAGGATCACAAGTTTGAGACCAGCCTCAGCAACTTAGCTAGGCCCTTGGCAACTTAGCAAGACCCTGTCTCAAAAAATAAAAAAGGGCAAAATAAATAAATAAATAAATAAATATAAAAAAAATAATGTGGCTCAGTGGTTAAGCACCCCTGGGTTTAATCCCTGCTACAGAGGAGGAGGAGGAGGAGGAGGAGAGCTTAAAAAAGATATAATAGCTGTTGAGTCTCTTATCAATAGTGAAAATCAAACCTTTGTAGGAATGGCCGGAAGCATTTTTCTCCAGAGGCCAGCCTGCCGCA